GGAGGAGGAGGAGTGAGCAGGAGAGAGAGCGCGAGGGAGGGAGGGAGGGAGGGAGGAGGGAGGAGGGAGGCGGGAGAGGGAGGAGGAGGGAGCGGAAGATGGAGGGAGGGGAAGCAGGGGATGGAGGTACAGGGAGGAAGGGGAAGGAGGTGAGAGAGGGAGGGACAAAGGGGGGAGGAGGGAGGAACGGGAAAGGAGGGAGGAAGAGAAGGAGGAAAACAAGGATGACGAGGAGTACGGACGGCGGAGACTGGAGGGAGTAGGAGGAGGCAGGAGGAGGGGGGGGACTGAGACAAGGAGGGGGAGGGAGGGGAGAGGAGCAGGAGGATGAGGAGTAGGAGGAAGAGGAGGAGGAGGAGGAAAAGGATCAGGAACGGTGAGCAGTAGCGGAGAGGAGGAGGAGGAGGAGGGAGGAGGAGGAGGAGGAGGAGGAGGAGGAGGAGGAGAGGAGGAAGAGGAAGGATGGGAAGAGGAGGAGAGGACTGAGGATGGATGGAGCAGGAGGATGAGGAGGAGAAGAGGAGGAGGAGAGGAGAAGGAAGAGGAGGAAAGTGCTGATGATGGGACAGATGAGGATAGGATGAGGAGGAGGAGGAGGAGGAGGAGGAGGAGGGGAGGAGGAGGAGGAGGAGGGGAGGAGGAGGCGGAGGAGGAGTGGAGATGGAAGGCGGAGGGAGGGGAGAAGAAGGGATGAGGACAACGAGGAGGACGGAAGAGGAGGAGGAGGAGGAAGGAGGAGGAGGAAGGTAGGGAAGAGGAGGAGGTGGAGGAGGAAAGGAATGAACCCCAAACGACCCTTCTGCGACTGCACCGCAGCCGTCCGCCCAGATCCCTGCTCGGGAGAAGCCCGCTCGGACCTCGACCCCGGCCCGCGCTGCGCCGGCGGCCGCCGCGACACCGGAGGCCACGGCATCCGGCGCGGGCGCGAGCGCCTCTGCCTGCCTGTCGGCCTCGGGGGAGGCTGCCGCGGGTCGAGGGTGCTCCTACTGCTCCTTGTCTCCTCCTCCTCGTCTTCCTCCTCCTCCTCCTCCTCTTCCTCCTCCTCGTCCTCCTCCTCGTCCTCCTCCTCGTCCTCCTCCTTTTCCTCCTCCTCCTCCTCCTCCACATCTTGCTCGTCTTGCTCCTCCTCCTCATCCTCCTCCTCCTCACCCTCCTCCTCCTCGTCCTCCTCCTCCTCTCTTCGTCTCCTCCTCTTCTTCCTACTCATGCAGCCTCCTCGTCCTCCCTCATGCTTCTCCTCCTTTTTTATATCCCCCTACTGATCCTCCTTCCCTCGTCATAGTCCTCGGTCCTCGTCTCACGCCTCGTCCTCTCCTCCCCCTCATCCTCCTCCTCCTCCTGCTCCTCCTCCTCCTCCTCTTCCTCCTCATCTTCTTTCTCCTCCTTCTCCTCCTGCTGCTCCCGTTCCTGCTCCTCCACCTGCTCCTCCTCCTCCTCCTTCTCACCCACTCCTGCCCCTGTCCCTGTTCGCGTCCCCGCTCCCGCTACCTTGCTTCTGCTCTTGATTATGCTCCTGCTCCTGCTCCTGTTCCTCCTTCCTCCTCCTCCTGCTCCTCCTCCTCCTCGTTCTCCTCCTCCTGCTCCTCCTCCTTCCTGCTGCTCCTCCTCCCCGCTATCATTCACCAACGAATGTGGCTCATGGTTGTTCGAGTCGAATCGAACCCTCCTCCTCCTCCTCCTCCTCCTCCTCCTCCTCATCATCATCATCATCATCCTTCTTCTTTTCAATGTCCTCCTCCTCCTCCTCCACATCTTGCTCCTCTTGTTCATTATCCTCCTCCTCCTTTTCCTTGTCCTCCTCCTTCTCCTCCTCGTCCTCCTCCTCGTCCTCCTCCTCCGCCTCCTCCTCCTCCTCCTGGTGCACCCCCTGCGCACGCTGGCTGTTGCTCCTGTTCCTGTTTCTGCTGATGTGTTTGCTCCTCCTCCGCCTCTTCTTCCACCTCCTCCTCCTCCTCCTCTTCTTGCTCTTCTTCTTCCTGCTCCTGTTCCTCCTTCTCATCCTTCACCTCCTGTTCCCTCTCTCGCGCTGCACGGGGTCGCCGCGGTCCGAGGGTGCTTTTGACGTTGCACGGACTGGGGCGAGGAACTTGTTGCTCAGTTTGTCGCCGCAGCGGCCCTGGCGGCACGCCGTGCCCTGCAAATGGACAGAGTGTCGTTTCGATCCGCATGGCGGGAGGCTGGGAAAGGCTCGGGGCGCTGACGCTTTGGAATTGGGAAGTTGCTATCCTGTCGCGCCACACCGTGGGTGTCTTTTGTTCCACGGGCCAAGATCATCATAAAAGAGCAGGTGCCGGCTTAAGCAGAAACTTTTGGATGTCCACGCGGACTTCATGGATCTGCGCTGGACCTCCCGTCCCTGATGCGCGGAGCGCACCAGTGAAGGCCCAACGCAGATCCCAAAACATCGCGCGGACATTCAGACGTTCATGCGTATGCTGTTTCCAAGATTCAGAATCATCAGATCGCAAGTTCTGTCGAGATACAATCTGGCTTGGCAGAG